AGGCCAAGTCATGGCACTGTGCTGCTGGTCCCAGCTGGTCCCATGTGGACTGCTGACTTCCACCCAGGCTTCCTGCCTCACTGGGGAGAGGGGGAGGGTCCCTGCTCATCCACTGTGTTGGTGCCAAGCTCTTTTCAGCGCTAAGCTCCTTCCTCCTTCCTCTGCTTGCTTCCGGCTCTGCCTGAGGGCCAGTGGGGGGCAGGGGGCACCGATGAGGGGCCCAGGAAACTATGGCCCAGCAGATTCCACCCCCTTCCCTGCCCAGCTCACTTCAGCACGTCCAGGTAATTCCCGATAACCGTTGCTGGCTGTACCAAGGCTGGGGATTGGCTCCGTGCAAGTCACCCCAAGATTTCAGGGGGCGGGGGCCATCACTCTAAGGAGAAAAGAGGGTTTGGGGCTGTGGATTTGTCAAGGCAGATGTAACCCCTGTCTGGGGTCAGCTCAGTCACTCCGGTGGCAGGCACCCTGCTGGGAATGCACCAAGCATGGATGGGAGCCCATCAGTATCCTCTGCCCCCCACCCCCATCCCCGTTGTCCGTCTGTCTGTTCCACCTGCCTGTTCTCGCTCACCTCATGCTCAGTGTGGGACATTGGCCCCCCGGGTTCCCCTGCTGGGCTGCTCCCCACAAGGTCAACAGCTGGAAACCACCAGCTGCTCCTTGGGAGAAAGTCGAGGTTTTCTGTTCCCATAAAGACTCACAGTCTCAGAAACCCAGAGTGGCCGTTTACCCTGCCCTATTGGGTCGCTGTGAATTGGAATGGACTCCAGGACCCTGCGTTTGGAGCTTTTAGGAACAGGACCCCTCTGAGCATGGAACACAGTCCCACCCACCCACACTTGTTTCTGGGTGGGCAGAGGGGAGAATCGTCTCAGAGGGTTCTCTGAAGAATTCTTGGATAGTGTTACATTGTAGCATTGCCAATTAGCAACTTTCCTGACAGTTGAGACCACGTATTAGAAGTGCTAAAGATTCAGTCCCCTTACCACCTCTGCAAGATGGGGTGGTCACACTGGCTTCCCTGGGTCATTTTGGAAACTTAAATCCATATCATTAAAAATCTAAACCAAAACCATGACCCTCGAGTTGCTTCTGACGCAAAGCGGCCCCGTAGAACAGTCCCTTTGGGTTTCCAAGACTGGGAATCTTTACAAGGCCACATGGCCACACCTTTCTCCCACGGAGCGACTTCTGGCCTTGTGATTAACAGCCCAGCTTTTGACCTAATACTCCGCCTGCAGCAGGCGGCCCATCAGTTACTGTTCTTGGGAGCATCCGGTCAGTTCCGACGCTTCGCAACTGGGCACCACAGAGCAAAACACTGCGCAG